ACCCTTATTCTCCAATGATTATCCCAAATCCAAACCCTAAACCCTGATGCCTACACCCTAATCCCTGAACCCTAAACCCTAAACCCTAAACCCTAAACCCTAAACCCTAATCCCTAAACCCCAAACCCTAAGCCCTAAACCCCAAACCCTAATCCCTTAACCCTGAAAATGCTCAGTGGTGCAAGATTTCCTCCGTCCACCGAGGGAGATGCCTTGGAGGACTCCTGGATGTCCAGCAAGACTTCAGCGAGACGGGAGCGGAGATTCCTAGGGTTTAGGGTTTAGGGTTTAGGCTTTGGGTTCAGGGCTTAGGGTTTAGGGTGTAGGGTGTAGGGTTTTGGGCTTAGGGTTCAGCATCTCAAGTCCAAGCATTCACTTGTTAAGCAGCGTTATCCAATAACAGAAAAATACTCACACTGCCAGTTGGGTCCCACATCATTAAGAAACCTACACCCTAAACTCCAAATGTTGGAGCCCCAAACCCTAAATACTGAATCCTCAATTCTAAACCCCGAATTCGAAACCCTGAACCTTAAACCCTACACCCTAAACCCTATTGAGCCTGAACCCTAAACCCGGAACCCCAAACCCTGAATCTTTAACTTCTTAAAACCTAAACCCTCAGTCCTACCGAGCCCTGCCGGGTAAGAAGGCCCAAGGGGCCCGAGCCTTGCTCAGAAGTGCCCCATAAGAGGGCCCAAGGGTGAGAAAGCCTAAGGGGCCTGACCCTTGCTGACAAGTGCTGGGTAAGACGGCCCAAGCGGCCCGAGCCCTTGCCGGGTAAGGTCATCAAACTTTAAAAAAAATTAGGCAAGATTCAGGGTTTTGGGTCTAGGGTTTTGGGTTTAGGCTTTGGGTTTAGGGCTTAGGGCGTTCGTCTTGCTGAGGTTTGCAGGGATTGCATGGTTTCGGGGACTATCTACGGGAAATATAGGGACATTCAGGGTTATATCGGGTTATACTTACAATCAGGGGTCATACTACAGGGAAGACATAGGGTTTAGGGATAGTACCCCGACGGTGGAGAATCAAATGGCGAAGAACATGGTAATTCAATGGAAACTGGTATTATCTCTCGGTCTGAAGGGACTTGGATTTCTATATATCCATAAAAGAGTGTGTCTATGAGTCTATATATACACACTAGAATCATTATATGTATTCCTAGAATAAGGATTACAGGATATTGGGCTTGGTATAGGGGACCCCTACCTCTGGAAACCCCATGGTACATAGCTAGTAACTCAGGCTATGTCGGCTGTGGCTTCCCGTGAACCTGCAGGTTGGGTTTTGGGGTTGGTTGACCGGAAACTGAGCGTTTTGGAGGGGGGTGATGACATCAGAGGCCTTAGCACCAAACAACCCAAGCCACACGACCGCCCCCAGCGAATTGAACCCTGAGTCCTACTCCCCAACCAACCCTGTGTGCAATGCTTGAAGAAGCTGCAGGAGTTTGCTAAAGACGCGCCCTAGCCGAGACTAACGTGGCACCCCATAAAGTCCCCTCTGAAATGATTGTAGCCTTATTATAGGCCCCGTTGAGGAGTTCCAATGTAGTTTGTGGGGAGTGTCTACCCCAAACCCTGAACCCGAAATCCTATACATCCCTATATACACCCTAAACCCTAGACCCTGAACCCTACATACTCCCTAGTCGCCCCTCTCTTGGGGCTCCAGATGAGTTTCGGGGGAGTGAAAGATTGAAGGTCCTCTCAGTACTGAGCCCTGGGTTAGCCTTGGCCCTACTTCTGGTAGGACTAGGGTTTAGGGTTTAAGGTTTAGGGTCTAGTACCAAGCGTCCAGGGATTAGGGATAAGGATTAGGGTCTGAGTGCTTAAGGCCTAGGGAATAGCATATACACACACAGCAATATTCCTGAGGAGCCCCATGTCCAATCACAAAGAACCAGGATTATGGCAAAACACTTGTTACTAGTTCATGTATTCGCCCTCCTAATATCCGAACCACCCAGGCATACTGATAAGAATGGCTCCAAATATAAAACCTTTTACATAATGCGGGCGTGTTTATAGTAAGGGGGGTGGCGCGTTGTGAATGATATTAGCGGAGGCATATAATCCCTATAGATCCCCATAGGACCCTACATAACCCCTATACCGTAGACCCTAAACCCTAAACCCTGAACTCTAAACCCCTAAACCCCTAAACCCTACATAACTCCTATAAACCCGAAGAATGGCAAGTCGGAGGCTCAAGGCCGCCATCTGGGAGTGGTTGCCACCCAGGATGATGTCCTCAGTCAGGTTCGGGCTTAGGGTCTAAAGTGCTTTTTTACAAGGTTTATAGGGGATATATTGAGATAATGGAAAAGAAGCTGGCAACTACTCTTTAGGGTTCGAGGGTTTAGGGTTCAGGGCTTAGGGAGTCAGAAAGTGGTTAAGGCTTTGAAGTTTGGGTTGTTTTGGGTTGGGGTGGGGTCCAGTGTCGGGTTTTGGGCTTAGGCATTAGGGGTTTAGGGACAAGTGGTTTGGGGCCTGGGGTTTAGGGTGCGCAGGGTATTCTACAGGCACCCCCAAACTATGTGTGAATGGGCTCCCCTATACAACACCGCACATTTCAGACGTTGGGGCGTTTAAATCCCAAGCCCCTGAAACATGACACCCTACACCCAAATCTTATACCCCAAGCCGCATGTCAGCCTAATCTTCACAGGCCCAAGCGACCGTTCCTCGCCCGGCCATGTTGGTGGACACTGTGACCATGCCCAGCCGGCCCGCCTGAGGTTCACTTGCTGGGTTGCTGTGAAGGAATCTAAATCAAGTTGCTATTTTGGGGCAACCCGAAAATTTTTACTCTATATACATATGTATGCTCATTATGGTAATTTATTTTAAGTTCCTTAACAGCAACCCAGCTTACTAATGCGTAGTTCCAGATGGGGTGCATCTGAAGTGTGGGGTCAACCCTAAAGTGGTTGAGGGTTTGGCTCCTGCATTCCAGATTTGCAAGGCCTTATAATTCCAGAATTCCACATTGGCGGGGCGCCATAATTCCAGAATTCCACATTTGCTGGACCTTACAAATCCAGAATTCCAGATTTGGATCTGGAATCTGGAATTCTGGAATCATTTGGTCGTGTCCATCTGGAATTCTGGAATTTCATCATTGTGACCATCTGGAATTCTGGGAGTCTGGAATTCTGGTATTCGGGAATCCTGGAATGCTGGCATTCAAGGATTCTGGAATTCTGTAATGCTGGAATGCTGGGATTATGGAAGTCTGGAAACCTAGAGGTCTGAATTAATACGACAAAAAATGTACCTTTCACCGCAGCCCATGCTTTTAGATCCAAATGTGGGTTTTGAGGGGCATTTGAGGGGGGGGGTAGCGAATACACACAAATCTACATATATATATATGTATGAATATATACATATATATATATATACTTTTTTTTGTTGAAGCCTCTGAATCCTTGGTGCAAAAGCCTAGGCGAAAAAAACTCATTTTAAGGCAAAGAACCTGCGAGATTGTCTCGTTCTCACGCGCGATGGACTCGGGCCGGGCGTTGAGCAGCTGCGGCTCGACGCCAGCCTTGAGAAAGACTTGTGTGAATATATACTTATGTATGAATATATACATATCTAGATTCATATATATATATACATGTGGAAGGCTATTTGTGTCTCAGAAAGGGTTGTATAAAGGGCTATATGATGTAAAGCAGAATTACTTAAGATTATATAAGGTCATATTGGGTTCAAAAGAGTTATATAGGGTTTTATATGGTTAAAGACGTTTGTAGAGGGTTATACAGGGTCAACAAAGGATTACATGGGATTTGGGGTCTAGGGTTCAGGGAGGGTGTGGGGTTTAGGGTTTGGAGTTCAGAGTTTTGGAGGTTAAGGGTTTGCCTCCAGCAACTCAACCTGAAACCCGATTTACCCTTCAGCCTTTTATATTGTCTGTGGATCCTTTTGCACAATATGCAGTGGCTGGCAGAAACGGCTGGACTACCAGGAAGCACGATGTCTTAGCAAAGAGGAATGGCAGCATGAAATATGACACTCCCCCACACCAACACAGAACCACATGCAGCCCCCTTGCCAAAAGCAAAGTGGCCTTTGTTGCGTCCGTTTTGGGGGAACCTATGTCGGTTTGTGGGAGCCCATATACCCCAAACTCCGTTCATCTCAGGATACCCCCTACATCATCCCCATAGCCCCATGCGACCCAAGTATCAAATTATGTTACCCCAAACCCTAAACCAAGTCCAGGGCATGCTGTAGTCTATTGTAGTGTAGTATGGGACACTATATCAAGTTAGGTTACCCCAAACCCTAATCCCTGTGTGCCTCCCCTTTTGGGGCGTGCCTCGCGCAATCGTGTCACGATAGCCTCGGACATCTTCACGTTGGCGGTTCCGATGAGAACGGGGCGTCCGTTTCGCTGATTGTTCCTGGGTCCATTCGGTCTAGGGTGTAAGGTCTTGAACGGTTTAGGTCATCTAGGGTTTACATAGGGGTTTATGGGACTTAGCCTAAGTTACCCTTCCCCAACTGCGGGAAGATGATGTACGGACCCGTATGGTAATAACATCCCCACTTCGGCGAGCCGTATTCTGTTCAAATTTAGGACAAATCCCATATGAGCCATGGTCTAAACTCCTTAAAGGGGGGGTTATTTAGGGGATTATATAGGGGACTACTATAGGGGTTATTAAGGGAGATACAAGGAGTTTAGACTATAGCTCATATAGCGACTTACCTAAGGTTGTTTCAGGATATAACCCCCCTTAAGTAGATAGAATATGGCTCTGGGTATAGTATAATAAGCTCCCCATATACCCCATATTCTATCTACGTAAGCGGGGCTATATCAGCCCAGTACTGTTTCTTGGCTTCCGAGCTCCGAAGTCCCTCCAAAACTAGGTTAGGGTTTAAGGTTTAAGGTGTAGGGAGGAACTTAAATTCTTAAATTAGATTCTTAAATTAAGTGACCGTAATGTGCGTAGGTAAGCAGTAAATTTGGTGAGCTTTCCTTTCTATGGGAACTTTGGGAACTTATTTGAAGTCTGGGCAGAAAAAGAAAATCAAATACTTAAAAATCCCAAATTTACTCGGAACCCTAGCAGCCTTAGCAAGACTGTCAGTCAGATGCTACACATTCAAACCCAGAGATCCAGTCAAATATACCCCAAAACCCTAAACCTAAAACCCTAAACATCGTTAACCCTAAAAGCCCTACAAAAAACCTTAAAACTCAAACCCCCCAAAAAAAACCTTCAAGCCGTACAAACCTCGACTCAAGCCCTAAAATCCTAAAAACCCTAAACCCTAAACCCTCTGACTGCCACCTTGCATCAAGATGATCTCCTCAACGATGGCATTGACTTTGGCCTCCTCGGTCTTGTACACCACGTCCTCAGCTGTCAGGAGGGTTTCGGGTTTAGGGTTTAGGGTTTAGGGTTTAGGGGGGGATACTGGGAAAGAAAATGGAAACGATATATCGAAACAGGGTGTGCGAGTATATATGTTATACGGTATGCACGGTTCTATTGGGTTTAGGGTTAGGGTTTAGGCTTAAAGGACATCACCCCCAAGAATGGAATATCAAATGGATAAAACAATTGAAAATGAAATGGAAATTGGGGTCTTATAGGGGTCTATAAGGATTTACGGTCTGTGGAGTAAGGTTTTTGGTTTGGGTTTATAGAAACCCTAAACCCCCATATAGGTTAGGTGGAAGCACCCACCAACGCAGCTTAAGATTTAGGGTTTAAGGTTTGGGGCTTAGGATTTAAGGTTTAAGGTTTAGGGCTTAGGGCCTAAACCCTCAACCCTAAACCCCAAACCCGGTTTAGGTCTTAGGGCTTCTTAGGGCTTAGGGTTTAGGAACTTCATCCTCAAGGCTTGCAGCGTGTCAAGGCGGTTTAAGGGTTTAGGGGTTTAAGGGTTGAAGGAGCTTCTAGTGGTTTAAGGACATAGAGTCTAGGTTTTATGTGTTTAAGGGCTTAAGGGTTCAGGGAATCCGGGGATTGAAGGATGAATGCAGAAAACAACACTGGTAACGTTCGCAACTAAACAATAGCAGGGAATAAACGGAAAAAACGATGTAATTCCTACATACTAAATTCCCATATTCCCTACTAACAACCAAAAAGACAATGGTGTAGAAGCATTTAGTAAAATAACGTACGGCTAACGAACCAACTGCGAGTACGAAATAGGGCAAGCAGGTGGTAGGCCAAATTTAGCTTTAGCCCCGGATGGAATCCTTTGTATTAATGGCCGTACTCACGCCCAGACCTTGCGAGTGGCTGAGGGCTGTACTTCAAACGGTTGGAGTGCTGATGACAAAGACTCAGGACATCCGAAACCATCTGAACCCTGAAGCCCATTGAATGTTCTCCCCTCAACTCTTACACTCCAAGTCCCTAGAACCCTGGCAGAAATTGGGATCTCAGTTGGCTCTCAGGATTGTCCATAACAGAAATTTTGAATATGTTCAGGGACACTTCCACTCACGCCACAGCCAAGACCCTAAACTCTACACCCTAATCCCCAAACCCGAAACCCTACAGCCCCAAACTGTAAACCCTAAGCCCCAAACCCTAGGCCCCCCCTTCAGGACCAGCATCGGGGTAATCACGGCGCACCATGGGCCGGGCAGTTGGGATGCCAGTGCAGCGCAAGCCATAGATCTCCTTTAACAGGTTTTAGGGTTGAAGGTGTAGGGCTTAGGGTTTAGGGAGTTAGATTTTAGGGTGTAGGGTTTAGGCTGTAGGGCGCAGGTTAGTCTACAAAACCGCATAATTTCTATGTTCCCTACTGCTTATTGGTAGTGTAATCATACAAAGAGAGATATAGACATCTGCGTGGCCTTCGCCTTCATTCATGCCCCTGGACAATGAGGCCTTCATGAAAATGAGCGTATCAATGCGTATCAATAATACTGGTACTTTTGAAAAATCGCATAGCGGTAACAACAACAATAAGAACAAGCACGGAAAATATTCAGTAATGAGGGAGCTGAGGGAGCTGTTCAACACATGGGTGTCCCTGCTTGGGGGGGGGCCCTTATAACAAGGAATGTACTATATTGAGGTCCCCCAACTCTAAACCCTGAACCCCGAACCCTAAACCCTAATCCCTATACCCTAAACCCCAAGCCCTGAACTGCGGGTTCGTTTTGGGGTTGCACTTGTACTTTTCCCAAAGAAGGGTCACCCAATACAGACACCCAATACTAGAATCCTATAATAGGTACCCCCAAAAAGGGACCCTAAGCCCCAAACCCTAATTTCCCGAGACTTCCACTTGTAATTTGAGGACGGGTGACATGATATCCAGGATGCTTACAGGATAAAGACTACGTATATACTAATAATGAAGGGCTTGATAGAGGTATTTTGGGGTTTAAGGATTTGGGGCTTTAGAGCTTAGAGTTTTAATACTTAGGGTTTAGTGTATCCTTTGACCCGTCGAAGGTGGGTCTGCAAGTTACATAGCACGCAGGTTTGAGGTATTCCGCCAAATCTGGACACCTCAGCGTTTTTTTGAAGGATATGTGGGAAGTGTAGAGGATAACGCGGGTCGTTTGGGGATTAGATGGGGACTGTTTCAACAAAATCCCGCCTGAGTGACCAAAAAATGTCAAGAAGGGAATGGACACGTCAAACCTTCACATCTGCATTCAAACCTCAACGCCTTGCATAAAGAGGTTCCCTGAACCCATTAGAAATTCACTCCTAGGGTCCCACAAAGTTAGGGTTTAGGGATTAGGGATCATCTCATTCATCAAAATCTGGATACGCCCTTCACATAAACCTCCCAATCTTCTTGGGTAACTCCCCCAGACCTTGATCCTGAAAAGCTCTACAGCCATAAGCCCTGAAGCCCTAAACTCCTAAACCCTAAGACCCTAGACCCTATACAATCCCTAGAAGGCCCTTAGACAACACACAACATCTGATGTAAGGCCATAAAACCTACTCAATGCCCTGTAGTTTCAATTTTCTTTTTGGATAAACCCCTGCAGTAGCCAAAATCTGATACACTCAACAATGACAGTTCGCAATTTCCTTTCCTAAACCCTAAAACGCAAAACGCAAGCCTTAACCCTAAACCTTAAACCCCAAACCTTAACCCGAAACGAAACCTTGATTGGAAACCCTAAACACTAAACCTAAACCCTAAACCTTAACTCTAAACCCTAATCACTAGACCTAAACCCTAAGGCCCTAAACTACACGGGAATTTCCCAAAATTAGGTGTACCTTTTTGGGGGTCCCTATATTAAGGAATATCATATTTGGGGGTCTGTATTTGGGTCCCCCTATTTTGGGAAAGTACCAAATTAACCCCCACTCAAGGGCTCCTCGAACTCCGCTGACTCTGTCAGCGCTGTGCCCGTCATGGCACAAAGTCGGGGGAAGAGGCGGAAGAGGGACCTGAGATTTGGGTAGATTCAACTTGGTTTTAAGGTTTAGGGTGTAAGGGCTTAAGGTTTAGGGTTTAAGAGTTCAAGGTCCAGGGTTTAGGGTTTAAGAGTTTAGCGTTTAGGGTTTAGAGTTCCGTGGACCTGAGATTGAAGTAGATTCCTATGGTTTTAGGGCTTGGCCCCAACGAATATGGAAAATACAGCTTTTTTCCTTGGGGTTCAGTCTTAGATGAGATTAATGGAAAGGATAACCGAAACTTCTGAATTGAGGTTCATGGAGAAGGGAACAATATAAAACCAATTTGCTTAGGGTTTAGGATTCAGATGAAACTGCTGACGAGGAAAATGGAAAGTGCGATGATGTTTGATGTTGTTGGTGGCGTTTATATGAGGGGCGACTATACAAAAAGGGATTAATGGAAAGAAGATGGAAACTGCTGAATGTCACTTGTGCTACAGTTTAAACTCCTAGTATCCCACTTAATAACCCCAAAAATACTCCCCTATAAAGTCCCGTATGTAAACCCGTTCATTTCCGCACCAGGTCGAGAGATTAACAGGGCTTAGGGTTCAGTGGTTTAGGCTTCAGGCTTAGGGTTTAAGGATTGGACTCAGGACCTAGGAGGCAAAGAAAATCGCAACAACTGAATATGCATGAAAAAGATGGAAGCTACTGAGCATTGATGCAAATTCCTGAATGCACAATAAAGGAAATGAAAACTACTGAACATTAGTGCAAGTTTAGAGCTCACAGATTGGGATTTAGCTCTTAGGGTTTTTTGGCATAGGATTAAAGGTCCAGGGCCAAGGTTAATGAGAACAAAATGGAAACTACTAAATATGAATTTGCCAGTTGCACGTCCACCGGCATCACAAGGCAAATGTTCTTTTCAGGGCTCAGGGTTTGGAGTGTGAGGCTTTGAGTTGAGGATTTTGAGTTTAGGCACACGCATCGCACAGCAGGCACGGTAGAGGATCCAGAGTTCAGGATTTAGGCTTAAGGGCTCAAGGTTAAAGCTATTGCTATGAATTTGCCATCTGCTGGTTGGAACTTCCCCCTTAAGTAGATAGAATATGGCTTTGAGTATATTATAATAAGAACCCCATATACCCCATATTCAATCTACTGAGAGGGGGGTTATACACTACCCAGCCTTGTCTTCTTACTCTTCAACCCTTGACCGCCGGCCTTCAGGGTGTTGGGGTTTTGGGGGACTCTACGACTATAACCCCAGTATATACGTATTATAATGTAGTAGTTTCCATTTTCTTTTGCATTATCCCTATATGACCCCAATATAGTATACCCCAATATTTACCCTACTATAATGTCATAGTTTCTGTTTCCTGTGCCATTATCCCTAAAGCCCCACATTCCCTACTAAAACCAACCTTCAGCCCTACCAACCACAAGAACCTAAACCCTCGGACCAAGCCCTAGGCCCTAAATCTTAAATCCTACCTAGCTATGTGAACTATAGGGTTTCAGTGTGGGGTTTAAGGTTTTTCAACTTTAGTGCTTAGGGTTTAGGGTTCAAAGTGCGGGCGCAAGTTACGGTCATGTGTTTCAAATGATCAATGTCACACTTTCTTGCCTCAACTGCCCACGGCACTTTTTTGCAACTGGATGCGGATAATATTTTCATCCGAAGGCTCAGACCCCAGGGATCTATAAACAAGCGGAATGGTAAGGCCTCCCTGGCATATCGTGGAAATTTCTGCTCACTCCGTGGCATCCAAAGGAAGTCTTGCTAGCGAGGCACTGGTAAGTGATCTGCGCAGAAACCTGGGATCGCACACTCACGTCGATGTTTTCCTGGCAGGCAGCTCAATGTAAGGTCTTTGTGCTTAGACAGCTGAAAACAACGCCTCTTTCTCAAGTTTCTCTCAAGTTTCCCACAACAAGATGGACCACCCGTTTATCCGTGTAACATGCTGCTAGCTAGCTGCAAGAAGACATAGGGTACGTTGATTTCAGCGGCAACCAGCAACTACCAGCCATGGTACTCATTTGCTGTTAGCAACCTGACACATCATTAAGGCAAGCATAGAACTCGTCATAATTCTCACGAAGCTTGCTGCTCCAGAACCGTAAACTTAATCTCTATCCCCCAGGAAGAAAACAAACTGGGCGAGTAAAAGCCCATACCCCAGACAATGCAAGGGGATACCGGACATGGAGCCAGGAAACCCGATATGTAAGCTCAGTTCCATGTCATTTACCCGCACCCTTTTCGCAAAACCCTGTACACTTTTTTTTCCCTGACATTTTTCCCAAAGCATATGCAAACCTAAATCTGCCCTGGAACCCTCCAAAAGGAAGGCTTTAGCTGTATATTGGCGATCTGTAGGAAGCACAAACTAAAAACATCGTTACAGACACCCCCAGAAACCTCAAATCCCAAAATTTGGCCTATATCTTTCTGACATAGCCTCTATATGCCACTTACAGTGCCCTTATATGACCCATGGCTTTACTCTGCTTACGTGCAGGTCTCCCCACTTGAACATCAAATATACACTCTCGCAAAAATTCCTAAGGATAGCTGTACACACTCACCAGAAAACACAATAAAGACACGACTTCACATGCTCTATCTAGTTCCCTGGACCGCTGGTAGAAATCGTACTTTCAGCTGGCTCTTAGGACCATCGAGAACAGAAATCAAATATTGTATTCAAGGAACTTCCCCCACAACCCTAAACCCTACCCCTAATCCCTTTTTTGCAACAGGCTTTGGATGAATGCTGCCCGGAAGTAGCCCGACTGGCCGATGCTTAAAGCAGTCCCAGCAAATCGGTTGCTACCAAATGAGGCACTAGTTGATACGTGACTACTTTGTTGAACGTACTGAAGCTAGTTTGATGGAACTGTTGAGAGTCACTGTGAAAGGCTTTGTAAATCCACTCCTCCAAAAGGATCTCAAGGCTTATGCCCCAAAACTCGAATTGCAAGTACGACAGCCAAGGCTGGCAAACATCACGAACATTCCCATGCCGCACAACGCATACCCTCCTCATGAAGCCATCCAAATTCAACTGTGAAGCGCCCTCCTAACGAGACAAGGAGGAAAACACCAACATGCCAATGCCAGGCATTGCTGAGACCATAGCCATCCCGCTACTGCACCAGATCACAATGTTTGGCAATCGCATCAATATACCTCATTCCGTCTGCGAGCAACTTGCCTCCCTAAACCCCAAACCCTGATCCCTAAACCCTAAACCCTAAACCCTGATCCCTAAACTCTAAACCCTTAACCTTCATCCCTAAAGCTTAACAGGCCAAGCCTTGGTCTCGATGGCCTGGTGCATGCCATCCGACCATCGGCGGCCCTCCAGGACTCGGCCCGTGAAGGTATCCACAATGGCCACCTCTGTCTGGTTTAGGGTTTAGGGTTTAGGGTTTAGGGTTTAGGAAGGTATCCGCAATGGCATCCTCTGCCTTCTTAGGTTCTATTGGGGTTATATTAGGGTTCTATTGGGGTTACATTTGGGGCTATATTGGGGTTATATTAGGGTTATATCGGGGTTCTATTAGGTTTAGGGTTTAGGGCTTCAAGTTTAGGGTTTAGGGCTTAGGGTTTAAGGTATAGGGCTTAGGGTTTAGGGCTTTGGGTTTAGGGTTTAAAGGGTGGCGACCCCGGCCTGTTGGGAAACACTGGTGTTCACTACTGGGGTTATATAGGGGCTTCTGGTGATAAAGAGAGTTCAGGATTTGGGGTCCACAATTCCGACCTGTCTCTTCTTCAAGGTTCATGGATACGTACAGTGTGACTAATGGGTTCTCCGATGTTGGGTTTCATCGGCAATTCGAAGCGGAGATTTATGGGAGACTAAGTTGCGTACTAGCCTTGGTTAGGAGTCTGGGCCTGGATCCCCAACACTCTCCTGAGCCCTCTCACGGACTGCATCTGAATTCCCCCACTTACTGCCGGGCTTTCAGCCTCTACCCCTTAAACCCTAAGACTAAGAGCCCCGAAGAAATGTAAGGCAAACCTCTTCACCTAGGCTTGGAATCCACCAGAGCCTTCCTCTAAACGCAGTACACACAAGCTCTTAATTATAATAGGATTATATAAACGTAAGGCTCAACAGGCTTCGTGAAGGTCACCCCCTGAGCTACTGAGACTCTCCAAACCTCCAATCCTCACCAAAACCCGTGCCTGGCCATCGCGGATAATGTACTCCTCGCCGAGCTGGAAAAGCTCCTTGGCCTTGACTGCGTTCAACCTCGCGCTTGCTGTTTGGTGCTTGGGGCTTCTTCAAGCTTTCAAACGTCCGCTTTGCATGCTTAGGGCCTCGGAATTAGTGCAGTTTTTAGGGCGTTGAGGTTAGGGTTTAGGGTGTGGGGCGTTGGGTGTGGTGCCATGGCTGAGGAAACTTGAGGCTCCTGGTTAGATATAAGTCCGGTTCCCTAGTCAGGTTTTAACTCGTTATGACAAAGTTCGATAAAAAGATGAAGCCCCTAAACCCTAAGCCCTAAGCTCCTCAAGCCTAAACCCTAAACCCCTACACCCTAAACCCCTAGACCCTAAACCCTGAACCCTAAACCCTAAATCCTTGAATCCCCAAAACCCCTGGTGCAGGCTGAGCAGCACGTAAAGGATCCACGCCTCCTCAGGCTCCCAAAGGTTCCTGGGTTGCTAACTTCGGGGATTTAGGGGTTTAGGGGTTTAAGCTTAGAGTTTAGGTTTAGGGTTTAGGTTTAGGGGTTTTAGGGGTTCCTGGGTTGCTATTTTAGGGGATCTAAAGTCCCTAACCCCTAAACGATTTTGGGTTTAGGGTTTAGGGGTTTAGGGGTTAGGGGTTTAGGGGCTTAGGGGTTTAGGTTTAGAGTTTAGGTTTAGGGGTTTGAGGGATTTAGGGGGTTTAGGGTTTAGGGGTTTTAGGTTTAGAGTTTAGGTTTAGGGGTTTGAGGGGTTTAG